GTCCTATTACTCGTCATTAACTCTCCTTCAGCGTGTATGCGCGTGCACGCACGCACGCACGCGCGGGAGTAGATATTATAAAGGCTCTATCGTCGTCGCTAGCGCATTTTAATTTCTTCTCGTAGTTGCGAGAAGGGAGGCGCATATGTGTGCGAGTGCGATCACATCAACGAGTAGGAAGGAACGAATTAGGTAGGAAGGAAGGAAGGAAAGCGAGAAGCTATTAGAGTGCATCTCCCGGAATAGCGGGAGGAAGAAGAAGTAGAATAACTAGAAGAACAAGAAGAAGAAAAAAAGGAAAAATAAGAGTAAAGGGAGGAGGAGGAAGAAGAAGTAGAAAAACAAGAAGAACAAAACGGGAAAAAAAGGAACAAAATTAGACGAACGAGAGGAGGAGGGTGAAGAACAACAATAAAGAGAAGACGAAGGAAGAGGGACGCGATGACAAGGAGACGGACGGAGAGAGCATTTCGCTTCTTCTTTAGCTCTGCTAGTGGATGTGTTCCTCATCACTCCCGACTGTCAACTCACATCCTTTCTGCGCACTGCCTCTGAATCTCTAATCACACTGCATTTCGGTCCACTCCCTATTCTCTAATACCCTTTACTATGTCAATAGCACGCTGGCCTAAGGCTAGACGGTAGTAGTCTGCTGGTACTATATAACAAAGTAAGAGCATTGAATCTACAAATACCTATCTTTGAATTCCGGCCGAACTTTGCGTACATTGAATTTCGGGTAAACACGTTTATAATCATTGGCGACGCACGTTTTACGGAGGACCCTGTCCAACAACAGGGAGGGGCTGGGGAGGGGGAGAATCGCAGCAGAGATCGGAGGACGAGGAGATGTAGTTGCAGGAGCAGGAGGAGGATGTGAGGGAGAAAAGAAGTAGCAGCGGGGCGAAAGGGAGAAGAGAGAGATGATGAGCGAGAGCGGAAGGAGGAGGAGAAGAATCATGACGGGGGAAGGAGGGGAAGAAGTAGGAGAAGTAGAAGAAGAAGAAGAAGAAGAAGAAGAAGAAGAAGAAGAAGAAGAAGAAGAAGCAGCAGCAGCAACAACAACAGCAGCAGCAGCAGCAGTAGTAGCATCATGGCGCTCTCCTGCCTCTGTCGTTGTACGAAGAAACACTCAGATCCATCCAGCAGCGCCACTCGCATAGCAACATAGTCGATGTCACTGTAAAAAGCTTTTAGCGTGAGAGCACTGTCCATGCATGCGCGCAGGTGCGAGAGTTAATGAGTAATATAGAGGCGGGGGTGATGGTAGAGGTTGGAAGCGCGAGGGCCCGTCACCGCATGAAGAAACTCTCCATCGTCGTCGTCGGAATCTCGCGAGAATGCGCGAGATGCGATCCTCACGTCGGGTCTAAATTGACATCGCTGGTGCGATTCCCACCCGACAAGCTGAGCGCGCGATGCATCACGGGGGAATTAGCGAGATCTCCATCAGGTGGCAGCACCGTCGCAGAGCATGCTCTTGCCGCTCTATCTCGATCTGTGTACGTAGTAGTGGGTTTAATGAAGTCAGGACGCTCCGGCGAACGCTAACTGCCCGCTGACGATGTGTATTCGAGCGAGAAAGCAACGACGTTAAACGCACGACGCGTGCCGCGCATTTCCTGCAACGCGTGCGTACGTGCGTGCGTGCGTGCGTGCGTGCGTGCGTGTGTGTCGGGGGGGGGGGCATCGACTATATTTCGTTGCATGCTAGTGCCGTGAATTTCATACAGCGTGTGCGTGCGTGCGTGCATGCGTATGCGTGCGTGCGTGTGTGTGTTTAACCGCGGCCCGTGGGCAGCGTAATATCGTGAAACCTGCGTGCGCCTGCATGCTTCCTGCGTCCCATTCATTTTCATGAAATATAAATATCAAGCGCGGATCCCGAACGACCATGCGCATGTAGATAACTAGAATAAAGCAGCGTGTATGACTAGGGAGAAGGAATAGAAATTGTGAAGAGGAAAGGAAATAGATTGCTATGGGGAGGGGTGTAGGGTACGAATGGGGAAAGGGGCGGGAATGGATAGAGAGAAGGAAGATAGTTTTCCGAGAGAATAGACTTAGATAGATAAGTGAAGAGAAGTAGCTTACTTGGAAGAATCGAAATAGAGGTGGTATGTAGATTGCAAAGAGGACACAGTGTCATGTAAATTGCTAGGAGAGGGGGATTGTACGAGTATGGGGAGAGAATGTGTATGACTTGACGATTGGAATGCAGAATGGATAAAGGACAAGTGAAGTAGATTGCTAGTGAGACGGGAAATAGATGACTTGGAGCGAATGCAAATAGATTACTAAACGGATGAAATATACATGATTAGAGGAAAGGAGTGCAGATGGCTGGCTATGGTGCACGACCTAGGCAGATGGCTGGCTATGGTGCACGACCTAGGCAGATGGCTGGCTATGGTCCTTTCCTTCCTCTTACTTTTCCACCCACCAACAGACGGATACCACGCAACTGCCGCGTCGCAGAAATACCCGCGCAGCCTTTACTGCACTACAACAACTGTAACGTAGACCGCCGCTGCCTCCCCGAGGAATGAGATAGAGACGGCGTCTGCGCATGCGTGCATGCATGGCCGCGTCCGGGAGAGACAACTGCAATGAGATCGTTCGGGTGTTGCTATCCCCCGGGCGTGGAGGGACGGTCACGTGATACAGTTGACGTATACTTCAAAACTTAACAGTAACCATAACCATAACTACAACACTAACCCTAACACTAACTATCTATATATCGGATATCTATCACCACAAAAATTAATCTATGGTGTGGAGACAGATATCATGATGCAAAAACCCTAACCCTAACCCTAACTCTAACCCTAACCCTAACCCTAACCCTGATCCTAACCCTAATCCTAACACTAACCCTAACCCTAACCCTGATCCTTACCCTAATTCTAACACGTGTGCTGCCACGTTGCGGTACTGTCCCTCCACGCCCGGGGGATAGCATTTCCCAGATCGTTCTCACACACGTACGCTCTCTAGCGTGTTTCCTTCCACGCGTAATTGATTCTCGTTCACATGGCGACGGCGACGATTTGTGATGCTGGCGCTGATGGCAGACGATCATAGCGACTGAAGCGGATGTCATTGCTGAGAGTGGAAAGCAGAATCACGGTCTACAGTGATTAAGCTCAACACGCGGTACTGTTTCCAACTATCCCTGCCGGTGCTCGCCCAATCCGCAACAGCTCAGTGGGTGTACCGTGGCGCCATCTTCTGAACGCTAGAGTGCGAAATGATCGCATAAGCGCAAAATGCTGCAGGTATCTATTGATTGGTTATTTAACTTTAGACAGTTGCATTTCCGCTTTTCCTGCCAGATTTTCAACGCTACATTGTATTGTTTTGAGCCATCCATATATATATATGCATGTACCTAATCCATCTAAAAGCAGAACTACGGTGTACAGTAAACACCCGCATAAGAGAACCCGTGATTTTAAGAACCTCCAGGCTGATAAATAAACAGATTCTAATATAAATAATATGATGAAAATAACAGGTTCCTATATAAAAAAAATACCGAAAATTAGAGCAAACTGGGGCAATCCAAGTATCTGTGCTACACCATTGGAAACTGTCTACTACTAGTCAAATCAATTTTTACAGCATTTGACCTTTCATTGTGTTTAATATGATAAGTAAATTAAAGTTGATAAATAAATTAACTCAAATGAATTTAAACAGACATATGTAATATTATAACTAATATTAAGCAGTTGGTTAATTAATTAGTGTATTAATTATACACTAATTAAAGCCAATTTTATCTAGATAATGTACACAATATCCCCCCCCAAAGAAATTAAGAACCTCTTTAAGAACCTCTTCAGGCTTATTTCTCACTATGTACCATATATATAAGAACCTCTTCAGCCTGAAACAGTAAATCACGGGTTCTTTTATGCGGGTGTTTACTGTATTGCATTACATACATGTGTATGCTTAAAAACTAACTAAAGTACGTACCAGAATGCACAATTTCAAGCTGAAAAACGCAAAAGCTCCCACACCCCCCTACCTCGCTCCGTTGCTCCACTCCCGAGCATAATCTCACTTTCAACTCTAACTCAATGTTGGCAGCCCTACCTATGTACTTATATCATCAGGAGTAAGATAATAGAGGATTCTCTATTATCTGACTCCTGATATCATGTATACGTATTCATGCGTACTCATATACTCCGAAGCCCGTAACACTAAAATGATGAAAGTTATGTCTATGTTTATCAAGAGTAGATAATATGATATCTCTTATTATCTACTCTTGATGTTTATATTACGTTATATTATCTAGAGGGCATAACAATTCCATTCTCGCCCTCAACCTTTCTCGCCCTCTACCTTCCTCGCCCTCTACCTCCTCCGTCCTGTCTTTTTCCGGTAAATTTTCATTAAATTAAAATGCCCATGTTTGGTCATTACTGATAATAATAACTTCTAGGATAAAAACAATTATTAAATAAAATTTTAAAATTGTGGAACGCTTCACGATTTTGCGTGTCATCCTTGCGCAGGGGTCCATGCTAACCATCTCTGTATGTTCCAAATTTATTATATGTACTGCCTCAGCAGATACAAACAACCACCTAGCTCATCGCAATATAGGTCTCACTATAACGCAAAAAAAAGTATGGTTTCACGCGATAATGAGAAGTTTTATATGATTAAACTGAAACAAATGAAATTGGGGAAATTTTATTAAATAAGCTACTAATTTGATGAAGTATAGCTGCTTTTCAAATAGATACATATAATCATAATTTGGGAGAATCAGGGTATATTTTTCAGTGCCCAGAAAGAAGATTGAATTCCCCGGCATTTCACTGTACAGTCCTGCCACCTGGTGACATTATGTCGTATGGAATCGTACGCGACTATATATATTCCACACAACTTTCACCTACGAGTTATTTTATTTGTTTTCGAAATAAATAAAAGAATTAAAAATAACCAAATAAAACCATAGGAAAAGAATAAACTGCGTTCTAGTCATTGATAGTAAACATATATATTTTCACACGAAGCCATACAATATTGATAATAAACAAAAATTTCGCATTTTCCCTCAGCGCGAAAATGCATCAGTATGTACAAACAGTATTTACAACGGCAACCTGAATGCGAACGGCGGGGGCGAATTCGTGATATGCACAGCCTCCAATTAAGGTCACACGCGAGTCAATCAACTTCCAGCTATTACTGTACATCAGCGAATTACCAGAGCAGGAACTCTGCGAGAGCCACGCCCTCTGGTGGTGACAGCGTCGACGCGATCCTCTCGTGTCTTCTCTCGCAAACACACAACGATGTAGTTACAGTTTCTCGGTTCTAGCGGGGGAATAGCAGAGGGTATAATAACTATTTTGTAAGCAATATTGCGTAGAATTTTATATTATTTTATATTTTATAATTTGTGTTTTCCGCGGGCGTGATCGAACCAAACCGAACTGTTTCTATTTGCGTGCAGTCTTCGCTGCTTTTCTCCATAACTGAGGTGCTCTCACGAAAACTTATGAATGATGACTCATCAAAAATTACTGCAGATGCGGCGGGACGTGACTCTGACCAGTGCTGCCACCTGTCACTCGCACTCGTGGCCAGTGCTGCCACCTGTCACTCGCACTCGTGACAAGTGCTGCCACCTGTCATTCGCACTAGTACTGCCACTTGTCACTCGCAGTAGTGCTGCCACCTGTCACTCGCACTAGTACTGCCACCTGTCACCCGCACTAGTGCTGCCACCTGTCACTCGCACTAGTGCTGCCACTTGTCACTCGCAGTAGTGCTGCCACCTGTCACTCGCACTCCTCCGCGCACTCCGGCAGCACGGGTAGCGGCGACAGCGACGCCCGCTTCTCCACGGCCGGGCCTCGCAGTATCGCCAGCCACGAGACCACGTCCTCAGGAGACTGCGTCTTCACCATCAGCCAATCGCCTTCGCCGTCCCGACTGCGTATGAGCAGCGAGCAGTCCACCCCACGCTGCTGCTGCTGCTGCTGCTGTCGCTGCTGCTGCTTCTGCTGCTGTTGTTGTTGTTGTTGTTGTTGTTGTTGTTGATGTGGCGGCAGCACCTCTACGGAACAGTTCTTCAGGTTCAGGTAGAGTCCCTTGGCGGCGAACACCGAGTCCGGCTTCACGACGGCGAACAGGTCGACGTGGTTATGATAGACCGTCATGTTAACGGTGCGTGCACGCGGCGCCTGCGCAGTCGACAGCGACACGCGGCCCGACAGCGTCTCGTATCCAGGCAACGCGCGCTGCTGCTGCTGCTGCTGCTGTTGCTGTTTGCTCATCGGGAAGTCTTCGTGTAGCTGCATGGATACACAGGAACGGCTCATCCCTGCTGCTGCAAGAGAGAGAGAGGAAAGCATGTGACGATTGTAATATAATTGAATTTCATTTTCTATAACATAAGCGGCCATCCATATAAATCAATAGAATTGTACGTGTGCTAAGCGGCAATAAACAATAGACCAGTTTCTCAGCAAAACATGGCGTCTTGGAGGACTGATTTTACAATGATGAGGGTTCGTTTGGAAGATATGAAATGTCGATGGGGTGTGTAACCGGTAGGCGAACCTAGTGCGTGCGAATACACCCGATGCGACGTAATGTTTACGAGAGAATAGATTTGGGGGGGGGGCATTTGTACTTGTTGTTGTTGCTGTTGTTGTTGTTGTTGTTGTTGTTTACGATGTATTCGTAGCGATTCTCGCACTTTTATTCTGGGATAGAGGGTGATAGAACACAGAAGGAGGGAGGGGGAATGGGGAAAGTGAGAGAGAGAGAGAGAGAGGGGGAGACAGAGTGAGAGACAGGGATACAGCGCGAGAGAGAGAGGGGGAGACAGAGTGAGAGATGTGGGGTGGGGGTGTGATGGTGTGTGGTAGGAGAGGGGGAGGGTGACACAGTGATGTAGAACCGACAAGGCGGTGTTACAGTGTGGCAAGAGAGGAAGAGAGATGTCATAGAACGCTAGAGGAATAAGGGAGGCACCGTCACAGAACATAATATCAGTCACAGGTCAGAATGTAAGTCAGCAAACCCAACGTTGCGATGTGGGAGGGGGGCTCTGCCTGCCACAGCCGTGACACGTCGAACCAGGCAGCCCGTAAAGATGATAGATCGAACATGGCGGCCGTCTAGAAATGATAGATCGAACATGGCAGCCATTAGAGATAATAGATCAAACATGGCGTTGGCGCCCGCGGACCGGAACATTCTCAGCTCCATTTATGTCGCTATTATCGCTTGCAATTCTTAGCGTCGGCGTGTCGTAACGAGCTTTGCATCGGATCAAATCTGCACTTAGTGCACTTTTCATGCCGCCCTTTGTTACGCTCTCTGTGTTTATTTAATAGTGAGGGACCATTTAATTCAATTTTCGTGTAGCCGTCGTCGTGGTTGTCGTCTGGGACAGCTACGGTGGCCGAGTCGCTGTGCTTCGTGACCGATGGATAGAAATAAACGTTTATACTCGTTGATTTAACCAGTCGATCGTGTCATATATCCATCCATCCATCTATTGCGTACGAGCGGAAACGAGACGATACCCAGGATGACGTCAGCCGGAGTTGACCGACAAGTCACGTGGTTTGTCAATTCCGATTCATGCTCGCAGTTTTTTTTTCGCTTGCGTTCGTTAACTTGAATGCTGGGATCAACTACGTACATCGTCACTACTTATGACGTACGACCTATGACCTCAACGTGATCACTGCCCGTGACCCACGAAATCTATGGCGTCACCGCCTGTGACCTACAAGACCTATGACGTCAACGCCGGCGCCGTGAAACCCACGTCGTTTCTGCATGTGACTTGCAAGACCTACGACGTCACTGTCGGTGACCTCCGACCTATGTCGCTATGGAAGCCGGGGGCTTGTGTCGGGAAACCGATCTGATTCATGCATGTAGTTCATTCACAATTTTCCGCTTCCAATTTCAAGACGTGGAGCATTCTATTGACAGCAGGCATGCATCGGTTGGGTTGCGCTATGTGACTGCGCCTAATAACCCTAATTATTGCCGCTGCTGTGTTGCCGCTGCTGCTGTTGTTGCCGCTGCCGCTGCTGGTGGTGGTGGTGCTGCTGTCGTTGTTGTTGTTGTTGTTGTTACTGCTGCTGCTGCTGGTGTTGGTGCTGCTGCTGGTGGTGGTGGTGGTGGTGCTGCTGCTGCTGCTGGTGGTGGTGGTGCTGCTGCTGCTGGTGGTGGTGGTGGTGCTGCTGCTGCTGGTGGTGCTGGTGGTGCTGCTGCTGCTGGTGGTGGTGGTGGTGCT